ATCTATCTATCTATCTATCTATCTATCTATCTATCTATCTATCTATCATCTATCCATCCATCCACCCACCCTTATCTACCTACCTATTTTTAAAATCACTCATTTCCTTCCATTGTCCTAGCACAGGGATGTCAAACTCGCGATTGTAAGATACTAGCTTACATATTAAGTAATTGTAAGATAAAGGTTGTCATCAACTGACATACCACAACTTTCCCCCCCTTTGCTAAACCAGGGCAGGGCGTGGCCAGTGCGTGACACATCTGGCCTGTGGGCCGCAAGTTTGATATCCCTATTCTAGCATTTAAAATAAGACATCCATAGGCATCCATGTGGAGGAGCAAATGATGAAATATGACATCATGTTGCAAAACCTGTGACTTCCGTATGTGTTTGATGTTATGATGCAAGTACAAAATAGCCAAAACATTCTCTATTAAATCATAATGCACATTTCATTATTTTTTTCATCATAATGGCTGACAACAGATACTTATGAAAACCACATCTTTTTTTTTCCTTTTACCTTTTAGCAATAATGCATTGCATGGCAAAAATGCCAAATATTTAGAATCATTTTGCAGTACACTCAGAATCATTGAGGCTAAATGGACATAGAAATTTCCTGGACAATGGACAACAGTGCCTTGAAACAGAAAAGTCCTGGATTCAGAGATTATTGCATTAGAGTGGAGCAGACTTTGTATCTCAAATAATGTGGCTCAGTTTACGGAGCGCTCTATTATGATTTAAAGCACCAAATGAGCAACAACAATAGCAGATTTTTGAGCGAACTCTCATGTCACTAATTCAGATATGAAAGACCCAGCAGCTGGGTTGCTTTCACGGTCTGTATTTTATTCATTGGAAATAAGCTATTTGTGGAAAAATACATTGATTAGGGAAGGAGAAAACAATTCCAATTCTGATAGTAATATGAAATTTCCTGTGACAAGGGATTTGATAAAAATGCTTTCAAAAAGAGGCAGGTTATGTGTGTCTATAGCTATGGTTGTAAGGAAATCTGTCGTTAGTCAATAAGCAGGAAGAAGAAGAATCAGTTGCACAATCCAGAAATAATAAGAGCAGGACTTAGGTAGAAAGTGAAGTTTCTATTACAGAAATTAGATTTAGGTGTGCAAGCACTTTGTATAATTATGTTATTGTAAATAGAGTGAAATTATCATTCAACTGAAAGTTTCAAGCCAGTTTATAAAGAATAAATAATAGCTGCTGCTAAATTATACATTATTATCTGCAATTCAATATGATACATGGATCATATTTGGGGCTGCTGACAGCTATTCAGAAATTGGATGGTGCTGGATGAATCCTAGAACCCTGGCACTGGAACAAATTCTAAGCCAGAAGTAACCTCTGCCCCCTGGAGCCTTAACTGTCATTTTGCATCATGCTCTCCCTTTGCATCAATTTACTCAATAGCCCTGCCCTGGAGAGGAAGTCAGTAAAGGTTTAGCTTTGATAGAGATGGGAAACAGAGGCAGATGAGCAGACCTCAACCACAGGGAAAGCAACAAATTCTTCACTGGGGCAAGATGTCCTTCAGGACACTCACCTAGTATCATTAAGATGCTGCAAGGCCAATTAACCTTGTCTCTTTAAAGAATACTGTGCAATGGCCAGGAAGAAAGAGCACCGAACAAAATCAGCTCAGAGCTTAGACTTTAGTTTTATAGCCAGCAGAACACATGAAGAGAATAAGAAATGTGCAAATTGTCTGTAATGCCCATATATTTTAAATGCAATAAATGTCTAAATTGGAATTATTTTCCTGCTAGTACAACAGCTTCTCCCTTCACTCATATTTTTGGAAAATACAAGCAATGTTTACTAAAAAGCTTTATGTGCAAGTCAGTAATTAGCAACCAACCATTAGTATAAAAGTATATCTAAGAGCTAAATCAAATCTTGCAAAATGTCACAACAGATAACAACTACTTATTTTTCATATTAACATGGAAAAGAATACATACATGCACTATCTCAGCATGCTTGCCATACCATTTAATATAAAACCGGATAATTTAGGAAAAGGGGAATGGCGTAATACATCTGACAATTCTATCAAGGAAGCCACTGGCAGCTGAATTATGCATTTCTGGTAGATTCCTCCAGGCTGTGATGATTAATCCATGCTGATACTGCTAGCTGATATGACCTAGAGATTCATTCTGGCTCACATACCACAATAAAATGAACACTATTGCAGTGTCAAAGAAACATTAACAATGCATCAATTCTAGATGCATTGGCTACAATGCAAATTTTGATAAATAACTGTGGTACCTTTTCCCCACGGGGTTTACCGAATTGGCCACATTCCGATTCACAAGAGACTTTCTCCTTGATAACTTCTTGGTGCTGGTGCTGTCATCAGTGGTATCATCATCTTTCTTTGGTGTGCTACCTCCTTTACTGTTGAGGTCCCTTAACACATTATAATTAATTTTGCTTGAAATCTTCTTCTGTTCCAACATTTTTTCAATTGCCTCTCCTGCTGTACTGGCCTGGATCAGCTCCCGTTTCTTTGCAGACTTCTTGGGCTTAATTAAAACATAAGGAATAGGAATTTTAGGGGGCAATCAGAATAATCTTGCTGATATCAAAGTACGGGCTACAACTATGCCATTTTCAGATGACAAGTTATAGTGAATAGGAAGGGTAAGTGATTAGTTATAATAACGGTTTGTCAAAATTTTAGTATGATATTAACAATTCTTTGTAGAACCACACTATATGGATCCAGAGCTGAATACTTGAATAGGATCTTCTGAATTTTCTTTCCCTTAAAAATGATGCACTTAAATAAGTTTTGTTTTGAATGGCAATCAATATATATAACATGTAAGAATGCTAAGATTCTTTAAAATATGTTTTCCTTCAACATGTCAAGTACCATTTTTAAGAGTTTTGTTTTATTTTGAATGGCTGACAATATATATATTATATCCCAATGTTAAGAAGTAGGCACTGGTAAGAAGATACACTGAAGTAAAATAGATTTTCCTCCAACAACTCAGACCCCATTTTTAAGAGTAAATCCTGGGGAAATAATTTAATTGTTATCCAAATTTGAACTACTATGCCCGTGGAAAGTGACAATTGAGTTGGGAATCTAAATTAATTTTTTTTTTATTTTAGATCAAAATGAAGCAACTAAGTGAGAAATTACTGCTGCTTGTACTACAGTGCTTCCAGTTTTAGACCTGAATTGGTTATGATAATGATTACATAGCTTATATGTTTTGACTGTATCTTTTCCAATAAAGTGAATGGAGTGATACTAAGTTTCAATAGAAGAGAATATATCTAGCTCAAGGCTGAATTATGAAAGAGTGACTCTGGAGTACTGATTCCGCAATGCTAAATTTGCTGCTCTAAGATCAGAAGTTGTTTCTTTAAAAGCATTTTCTTTTTAAAATTTTATATACCTTTTCTTCCTTTTTCAAGTTCATTTTCTGTATTTTTGCATTTTTTACTCATTTAAAAATCTCTAATAAAATTATATTTAAAAAGATAGCAGAATTTGACATTTACTAGCTATTACATGTAAGCCAACCATAAAACCTTTACTATTGCCAATATTTTTGCACCTGTATAAAGGTTTTTTTAAAAACATGACATGATAATGGAACTATGAGTATCATATATAATAGATCTACCTGCCTAGGCCTAATACTATACTCCCTTCTGTTCAATAGTTCAGCGGTTGCCAAATTTTGGTGGTCCGCAGAAGAAATGGCCCCCGAAAGCAATTAATCTGGGCCACACAGTTCTCGTGCCTCCCAGCTTGAGGGATCCTGGAGTCAGGTCCCTGAGTTGCATGCGCCAACCAGCTCCCACATAGGGTGGCGATGGTGGCCACAACAGTCCCCTCCCTCAGCACCCACTGTTAGTTCTCCACATTAGTTCTGTAGCTTGGAATTGTCCTGCTTCTCTCTTTCCTTCCCCCACTGCCCCCCACACCCATGTGCAGGCAGGCAAGGAAAGGGAGACGGAGCCATGTGTAGCTCTCGGCTCCTCCAGCCCTCACTGCCTCTCCCAACATCGAAGCCTCAGAGATGCAGGCAAAGCCGCCGCAGCAGTAGCGCCCTGAGTTGCTTGCTTTTCCACTACTGTTCCTCTTCCTCCTTCTCTGGGTAGGGCAATTCTGAACTAACTGAGTATGCTAAGGCAACTCGGGCACTACCACTGCGGCGGCTTTGCCTGCATCTCTGAAGCTTTGATATCTTTCAGAGAGCTGGGACTTTGAAGCCTCAAAGAGCTGAGAGGCACGAGAACTGCGAGTAGGAGCATTTGGTGATTTCGAAGAACTCCTAGAACACAGTAGATTGGCGTTTTGTAGGTCTCGGTGAAAGAGTGAACTTTGTTTCACCTCCTTTCCTCCCCTGGTATTGCAAGAGATGCTCTCTCTCTCTCCCCCCACTCCCCTGCCCCCAAATAATCACTGGCTGTGGCTGGGTTTGACAGCAGCACTAAAGTGAGCAAAGTGCCCCCAGGGACACCTTTCCTTGCCTGTCTCCAGGTGAGCCTGGAAGAGCCCCCCGCCCAGCTTTTTCTCAGCTGCAGATCTGAGCTCTCTCAATCTTCCACCCGGGATCTGAAAGGAGCTCCCACTTTCTCCTCCTCCCCTCCCCCCAATTAATCACCGAGAGCGGCAGTCCTTCTGTAGGCAGATGCCTGCTGAGAAGCCCCTGGAATGGTGGCTGAGGGGCGCTGTCCCCCAAGGAGAGCAAAGCCTCCTTTCTGCCTATGCTCCTCCCAGCTGCAGTTGCCCCGAGGCCCCTCAGCTGCACTCTTTGGAAGGTGCAGGTGGGGCGAGGCTTCCAGCCTGGAATGTTTAATTTTGTTATCATTAAGCATTTACATTTTTGTTATAATTAAACGTGTGTATGTGTGTGTATGTATGTATATGTATACATATATAAAACATTAAATTTATATTTAATATAAAAAATTATATTAAATATATTAGCTTTTTTTTAAAAAAAATGTATTAGTTTGTGGTCCCTGAGGTCCAAAAGGAAGGTGACCCCTTCAATAGTTCATGTGCTCATCTATATTCCCCTATATCCCTATATGCAGGGGTACTCCTGCATATAAAAACACAGAAACCTGCTGATGTTAGCTATGGAAACTTTTTATTGGTTGTAGGAATTGGCCTTCTGGGATTCCAGCTGCAATTCTCCTATTGTATCTGAAAAAAATCCTAGTTATTTCTCAAGAGGCATTATTTATACAGCCTTGAATTGATACTATTTAGCATTTATAGTCCAACATGCGTGGACTAAAGTCTTGAGAAGGATAGCCACTCCGAAATGATTCCATTCAAACAATCTGATTATGACAGTGTGGATTATTTCAATATTAAACATTGTGTCAGTTTAACTTTTAGTCCAAAAGTCAGACCAGACTTGACATAATTCTTAATATTCATAATTCTCAATTTAATACTGTCCTAACTCAGCAGTCAGCATCCTGTCACCATCAAAGCTCTCTTTGCAACTCACAAAAAAAAAGCCCACCTCTTTGGCAAAAAATCAGTAGTGTGACTTTCTATCATTTTGAGGTGGTAATCGTATAAAAACTGCAAGATAAACTGTAAAGTATGCTTAAAATAATTAGAAATGAAAGAAAATACACTTTTCACCTGTAAATAGAAAAATCTCTCAAAATCTTCATTTCATCTAAAGGCATGATGCAAATATTCTAAATCAGTCCATTGCAGGGAGCAGTATCCTGAAAACTGCGGCTTTGTTCTTTAAAGAAGTCTACCCCAACAAGTTGTCTTTTTAAAAGACGGGCCTAATTCATATCTATGAGCTTCAAAATGTGAACATTTAGGTGCTGTAAGTAGACTTAAATATTTTGAGCCTCAATGTTTCTAGTCATTTATATTTATTATAACAAAATTCTCCCTGCATTGTTATAAGGTTCATGTAAAGAAAAACTAAAGTATTTCAGTGGAAATGAGGCATAGAGGGCAAATTTTTGCAACCTTTTTAACTACACATTCTACTACACACATTTATTTATTTGTTACTTCATTTATTTACCACTCTATTCAAGAGGCATCAGGAGGTTTACAGAATAAAGCATACAAAACCTTTTCGCAAACAATGACATAAAGCCTTCTTAAACTATTAATAATAATAGGCTCTTTCTACTTAAAGGAAAGAAAATCTATAAAAGAATAACAATGTCTCTATTGCCCTTGTTATCACCTTGGGCAATATAAGCAGATATTCAGATTTCAAAAACTGTGCAAAGTAAAAGTGTTTCTTCCTTTCATGATACCAAAGTAGAAGCAGTCCATACTTCTGAGATGGGTCAATTCTATAGAAACAGACCAGCCATTAAGCAGGCTTCCCTCAATGCCTTGCCAACATATCCAAGACGGTATCTGAAATATTGATTCCCAGATTGAATACATCTTCTGCTTAACCAGCTTCTGCTTGAACTTAGGGAAGTCTATACCTCTTGGAACATTTAGTTCCACTATTAGTTTTTTTTCCAACCATTTGGTAGCTTTGACTGGAATATTACTTCCTGTAATTTAAATCTATTATTTTGTGTTTGGAACTCTGAAGGGAAAGAGGCTTTGACTTTCTTCTGTATGATATCAATTCAGATTGTAATGGTTTCGTCAGATGCCAGTTTGGACAACAAGGAAGAACTGGGTTCAGGAACTTCAAAGAGGAGTGGAAGAACATCAGGATGATGGCAGGAGTGGATGGGCAAGGGGAGGAGAGACTAGGAACATGAGAACGGCCGGTGGAGAGCAACTGGACAAAGGTCTGTCTGAAAAGGAGAGAACAGGCACAGCTGCAACCAGGAAGCATAGATGCCAGCCAGAGGCACAGGGCAGAGAAGGGCACAGCTATAGCCAATTAGTGAAGACATGGAGGAACTGCCTTCTCTTCCAGATCTCAGATCACATAGACACGAGCACAGGGAGGTAGAAATGAGGTCAGTGAGGCTACTTCTGGGGAGGCAGCCTCACCCCTCCTAATGAGTTGCACCAGATGGTGACTATTTAGTCTCAGTCTTAGAGCAAAGCTATGTTGAAGACAACTGTTCACTTTCTGCCATGCATGTGCTCTGACTTCGTTCTTCCGGACCTGTGCCTTGTTACTCAATCTTGTGCTTGGACCTTGGATATTGTTTTGAAACTCTGGACTTGTGCTTGGACTTCAGACTGGTGTGGATTGGTGGATTTATGCTTCAATCTCAGACTGTGTATTTGGCTCTAGACTTCTTTTGCTGTGCAGATTAGACTCTGACTCATTGGGACCTTGTATTTCTAGTAAAGGACACAGTAGGGGCTTGCTGTTCTTAAATAAAGCATTAAAACTCCTTGGTGTATGTGTGTGTGGACTGGGACACGACATAGATATTTGAAGAGTACTATCATACTTATTACAGTACTATTATACTTATTATCAGACATCTTTTTTCAAGGAAATATATCAAACTTCTTCAATCTGTCTTCATAGGATTCTAACCACCAGATAATTATTATTGCCTTTTTAAAGACATGTTT